TCCATTCCAAGAACTACTGACTACTAGTCTGAATTAAGATTTGGAATTTTATATATCACAGAGGAAAATCCTGACGGTTTAACAAACCTTTCCACATCTGTGTTATGCAGCTTTACTCTCCAACTAGAGCAGTGTCTTGCACTGGATGTTTTTTCTTTTTTTTAAATCAGGCATGCATTACTCACATGGACACAAACAACTTTGGATGTGATTTATTATTATCATTATAAATTATCTTGAGAAAAATTTAATCGTGGATTGCACCAGAGACTTTCTAGGCATTTAGAAAGAAGCAGTGTGTGTTTTGAATCATTTTTACACCAACCTGAATTAATTGAAAGCAACAGCTCACAGAAGCATAAACCAAAATCAATGTGATGATGAACGAGGCCCTGTGTCTCCAACCTTTCTGAGATCTAAACAGTATATCACAGCCTCTTAAATATAAGGGTAATGCAGGCTGGAATGAACCAGCTGCTCTGTTAACTTTGCAGGACTAACATATCTACTCAAGAAACATTTTCTTAAGAAATGGAGGATAAACACTTCTTTCAGATTGCAATTTCTGCTTAAGACCCGTAACAAGAAAAATGTCATTTTCTCTCCTGAAGATTTACGTAGCATCACGATTCCTCTGCATGAAAGAAATACTTTCCAACAGTAAGATATAACGGAGAGTACACAAGAAAGAAACACTATGAAACTTAAGAGTTAGTCTAAATTAATTGTAAAAATGCTTTTTCTGGCTCTTGTCCTCATAAGCAAAGGCACTGGCCCAGATTTTTTTGATCCGGTTCACTTTGAAACCCCTCTCTAGTCCTGTCTGTGCCGGAAGGGATCACCACGTCCTGTGGCTTGGGCGCCACTTCCAACCTGGCGCTCTGAGCCAGTCCAATAGAGACATGTCTATGCAGCACCTCAGATGAGCAAAGAAATCCTGCCAGATCCAAGTTGGGCTACAAATTTCTCCTTCTCTCCCCCCCGGCAACCCTCCTTTCTGCCAATGTATACATGGTAATACCCCCAGTTTTGCCTTCCTCTGACCAAGCAGTATTCCCAGGAGGACAGATAAATCTGTCTCCTGGGCTGGATATGGTCACCACTTTGCCATTCCCTGAAACAAAAGAAATTTTCTGGGACCTGAATTTTGCTTGGGTAAGAATAGGAATGACCAAATAAAGAGCTAATTGTCAGTAACAGGGGGGAATTAACACTGCGTAGAAAGAATGACAGCAGATAAAAATTAGACTCTCAGTATTAATGTTGGAAGTCAGTCATATCTCCTTGCAAGTTGAAAAGCATATTTGACAGTTAAAGAACCCTTTATTTCTTCAAAAAGGCTACAGCCTTAATTCAGAGTTAAACTTACTCAGAATTAAACTCTTAGTTATTCAGAATTACAGCTTTGGCACAGCATGCTTGAAGGCTGGAAGGAAGAAACGGGGCCGTGTTGTACCTCAGGGCACCATTTGCACAGTTTTACTCTTGCCCTGGTAGGTTAACACTGGCATGACTCTGCCAAAGTCAGCAACGCGAGAACGATTTGTGACCCCCCCCGCCTTTGCACGTTTCTGCACCAAGGCCCAAAGCTTGCACCTGTGTAAGGTCTGGGGGCCACACGCAGACCCTCGCAGGAGCCCGCGGCCGCAGCCG